TCTGCCAATTATTTGATATTGCTTCACTGTAGTATTCTTCTGATATCTATAAACCAGGGATGAAAACCTTTTTTTTTTTTTTTTTGATTGTGCACCACAGAAACTAAAACATGCCATGTTGAGAGCCAATATAAGTAAGGTAAATCTGTAGGGCTCTCGTCTTCCAATATGGTGAACTGGGTTCGAATCCTACTGATGGCTAGTCGATACGCATTCTCAGCCCGGCTTGCACTTAACACAGTGCTGACGTAAAATATTTTAGGTAGTAGATGGATTAGGTGGTAGACGAATCATGGATTAGAGTCCCCTTGCTGTCAGGCTACCCGTGGGAAGTTTTGGCGGTTTTCCTCCCCATTTAAGGCAAATGCGGATTTCCACCAAAAAGTCCTTCTCGAAGGCAAATTTGTCCCAATATTTGTTCCAGGAGTTCCCTTGTCTTCTGGATTGGGTTCAAAATTACAAAGCTGTGGAGTGAGTTGAACATTAGTAGTCGTAAACCTAAAAAATAGGATCAGCTGTTCAACGACGGTTATAAAATAAAATAAAAATAGTTTATTTTTAATGGTAAAGATTTTTTTGCCTCATGAAGGTTGCTTTTTTTCTTACAATTTATGTTATATATTATTTATATTATATATTATTTATATTATATATTATTTATATATATAAAAAAGCACGCATTCCGTAACAACACGTTGTGGAGGTCCAGGCTCCATTATTTCGTGACCAACTGCATGATTGTGGCAATGTGATCAGCACTGCTCACAGACCACCTTTATTTCCCAGACTGGCTGGTACCCATCGATCTGAAGCTAGATGGGCTTCAAGCCGCCACTGAGGATCGAACCCCAGTTCTTCACTATGACAGTTCAGTGTCTTAACCATTGAGCCATATTTATATACGATAATATGATATTAATATTATTATTTATGTTATTATATAAAAAAAACTAAGTGTAATTTCTCTCTAAATTATATTAACATTTTGATTAACAAAAGCATCTTGATATGAATTACTACTGCTACACTACTACTACTACACTACTACATGAATTACTACTGCTACTATCTACACTACCATAATTTGAATCAAAGGGCAGATGGTGTAATTACCCGGCTTTGCATCACGCACTCCTACTGCTCAACCGTACGTTTTTTCCCGGTTCTGAAATCGAGGGCATTACATTAAAGTGAATTCTAGTTCAACGGAAAAAATGCAGTCCGATCAGATGCCTAGCTTTTTACACTGGGAATCGAACACCGGTCTGAGCCCATGTTGGCAAGAACAAAATCCACTGGCTGATCTTTAATTTTGTAAGTTCTTAAGTTTTTAGTTTCTTAACAGAAGTTAACAGAATTAAATGACTTAAAATGTTGAAATTATTTGCAAGTATTCTGAATCGTTGATTGTAAGTTGGAGCTTAGTAATTTTGTTCTTCTCTATACTGTATTTTTTGTGCTTTTACTTATTTTATTTGGCTATAGTTTAGCTTTGGCGTTCTGCCTGATCTTATTGCTTGAACATATAATATTATTCTCTATTTTCTCTTGTTTGAAGCTCGTTATCTACAATGAAAAAGAATTCGTCTTTTTGAACAGTACTATAAGCTGCAACTTCTAGATGGGGTTCAAGTTTTAAACTTTGTTACGAATATAAATGGTCGTAAACTTAGGAAACGCGGATGCATAGTGAACTGCTTTTTTTCTTTTTAATTCACGCCACTGGCTTTTAGATTGATGGCCATTTGGAAATAATATATCAGTTCGTTGCTTTTTCGCCATTTTCGTGTGAGCCACTTGGAATTCGAGCATGCGTCGAATTTTTTCTCTTGTTGGCTTCTATACTAACGCATTTTAGTATTCAAAAGAATTTTGGTTCACTTTTCTCGTCACATCTTTTGAAAAGTGCTCTCTTTATCTGATTATTATTTTTTTTATGTTGTTGGCACTCCAAAAAGAACCTGGAACAAATTGGTTAACTGAAGCAGCAATAAGTGAATTTGGTACTTGAGATCTTCTTCAGTTCGAATTACCTTCAGTGCGCTCGTTTTTATGGGCGAACGTGTTGAAAAGAACTACTTTACCTCCGCAACATAATTTTATTCTGCATGGCAAGGGTATTTTTATCTTTTCTATTTTGTATTTTCTGTTTTATGGGCCATAACAGTCGCGTGTTGAATTTTTAAAAGGTTTTGCTTCTTACATCAGTAGTCATATTTCATGCTTAGCAAGTTTTTAAAAGTATTTACATTTCTTTGAAAGTGACTTTAGTAGTACTGATTTCCTTTGGTGTAGTATTATTGATTTTATATGTTCGATTGTGTTTTCAAAGAAATGTCCTCGTTGCATCTTTAGAAGGAAGACCTAATATTAGGTAGGGGAGGGCTAAAAGCAACTGAGGGCCTGACAGTTCGCTATTTTTAATCATAAATTGTGAAATTATGTATAATTTTTTGAATGTTGACTAACTGACTGTATTAATTTTTTAAAAGTTTTATAAATTTTCTCTTCAGGGAAAACAAACTTAATACTAATTGTAGAAATCTTATAGATCTTTCTATTTTAGAAGAATACGAGGTTCCAATTTCATATTATTCTTTCAAATTTAACAAAATCTTTATCTTTTATCATCGAATTCAGCAGTGGAAATAGTCCATATAAATTGTAAACATTACAGCACTATTTTCTCTTATTAAGAAATTAGCAAAAATTGCATATAAAAGTATAATATTTGTTGATGGTTATTTATTTATGCCATTGTGTGTTTATGTAAACGCGCTGATTTTTCCTAAAATATTATTTATAAATCTTTATTTCGTGAAGTTTTCCTTTTCGAATGATGTTTTTTTCCTTCTAACTGCCATTTTAGCTTAAATGGCACGAAAATAAACGCTTAATTAACGTCAAACGACAGTAAGGGCGAATCGTAATTATTTAATTACACTTCTTTTTCATTTTTTTTTCATTTCTCAAGATATAACAGTTACTGAATTTAATAAACAATGGAAAGTTTGCAAAATCAAAATGCATTCTAAACAAATTAGCAGTGTCTTTTCATTTTTAAAATTGTCTCATATTTTAATGCGTCACTGTATGTTTTCTTTAAATATTTTTTCATTTTACAAACAATAAGTTTATGTACAGTGCGCAAAATAAAAAACACACCACCCTAAATAAGAGACCCCATTCGAGAGAGTGACCTCAAATATGCTAATTAATTAGCTCAGACGATATTTTAAATTACGAAATCGGACACAAAAACGTACTTTGTGAGATACAGTCCCAATAGTTTAGTCAGTTGAGCGGTTAAGTTAGTTTACTTTCTGCTTATTTCATCATATCTCGAGAACTTTTTAAGTGAATTGAAAAATTTTTGCGCACAATTATAAAATAAGTTTATTCAAAGATAATTCCATTCAAAATATAACGTAAGTAAATATCTATAATTTTTCATTATTTTATTTAATAATAGTCTGCATAATTTTGAATTGTAAGGTATACAATTTTTACATCATTTTAAAGTGTGTACTTTTAAATGGCAAAATACAAGATTTGAGCGAAATCGGTCGAATAGTTTTTGAGAAATTAAATTTTGAAAAAGTCATTTTTTAAAATTCGGTTTCTTAAGAACTATTCTATCGATTTCGTGAAGCCTGAGATCTACAAATTTAACCTGATTCATATTAAACTTGAAAATCTGAATATTTCTGGAAAACGAATTTTTTAAATTTTTTTTAATCCACTGTAAGAACGTTCTTAAAATCCGCCTTTCCTACCTATGCGTGCTTTGCATGCCATGATTAGTCAGGCATTTAAAAAGTATTTCCACTGGAAAGGTTAAGATGAAAAATACCAGAGAAACTGTTTAACGTAAAAGGTATATTACGCATGGTATGTAATGTGGTTTTCAATTGTATATTTGTCTGTATTTAATATTGTACTGTACCTTACATTTTGCCACTTTATTTTAGATAATTTGATTATTGAATTGAAAGTAGAACTTAATTTTCTTTATTTAATACTCTTTATTTAATTTCATAAAAGCAACAATATTTTTCATTTCTTACCATGGTGGCTTCTATAAATTGATTCTAATTGTTTGACCGTTGGGGGTGGAGTCGTTATAATCTGGAAAATATTGTCTAATTGGTTTAGCCTGGAAAGCTGTCGAAAGTTTGAGCTTTTTAATGTTGAATAGCATTGAATAGTAGTCCACAATTAAAATTGTTAAAAATTCAACTCTTTAATTTGCACGAGTAAAAGAAAACTTTTTTTGAACGAAATGTTAGAATTTGTTGATTTGAATTGTATTTTTATTTTTTTAGTTAATTAATGTTCGAAAAGTTTTTGAGTTGTAAGGAAGTATATATATTAGAAATCATTTTTAATGCTGTAATTTTTAATAAACCCATAAAAATAATTTTAAAATCATGTATTTTTAAATTTTTATTTCTCCAAAACTATTCAATAGATTTCTTGCAAATTTTGGATAAAGTTATTTTAAATTTACATTTGATAAGTACGTTTGATTCTGGGCGTCATAAGATGATGATTTTTTTCGGCCTTTTCCGCACGGTTTTTCTAATTCCGGTATTTGTAAAACGCTAATTCGAAACGCGAACTTTGATGGCACTTTCGATTTACGACGATGCCGTCGTAAAATCATGTCTTTTTCGGATCTTTTTTCTTTTCATGTCTTTTTCGAATCTTTTTTCTTTTCATGTCTTTTTCGGATCTTTTTTCTTTTTAAACTGAAAATTCATTCTAGAACAATTTTGTACGGTCATTTTTATAAAGGAAAAAAACTTCGTGAATTTGTCGTTTTTACGAATTTAAATTTTTTAAAAGAGCTTTTTTTAGAATTTGAATTTCGTGAATTTCGTCCCCAATTTCTGCCTTGCGATCCTTGCTAATTTTAAATTATATATATGTGTTTGCAATTTTAAAGTGTTTGTGAATGAGAAATATTTCTAATTTATGTTTTGTTTTATTTATATTAGAATGTGGTGGACCCTCACAGGGAATTTTGGAAATATGTTGCCTATTGATTGGTCAAAGTCTTATGCTCGAAAAATGCAAATAAATTGTCTCAATTTAAATGAGAAAAGGGTATGTAAAGTTAAAAAAAAAAAAAAAAAAGCCAAGTTTTTTCTATTTATGTTTTTTTACTTGTTTTGGTTAAAATGTATGTTGATAATGAATTCTTTTAATTTTTAAATCAGGATAAGGAAACAAATGAAGAGTTGGACGAATCTGATGATGATGTTGCAAAAGATTTGGATCTCCATTCTTTGATAATTTCCAGTTTACAGCAAGAACCCATGTTCACAGCTGAACAAGTATTAGAAGAAATTGATGAAATTATGCAAGTTAGTGATAAATTTGAAAATTCATGAAATTTATATTTTAAAATTCAACATTGGTATTTTAATCTGTAAAATAAATTTTAATAAAATTAATAAGTTAAAATTAATGTTATTATCAAACTGTATGTGGTTGACATGTTTTTAAAAACATGTACATTCATAATACCAACTTAGCTTTGTTGCAGGCACTACAGTATAAAATTGTTGTTAATAAATCTGAATGAAAACAACAGATTTTTGGTAAAATTTAAAATTAATTATTTTCTCAAGAAATATTCCAGTGTACCAGAATTTTCCATTCTCATTTAATTAAGAAATATTATTCTAATGTAAGAAATATTTCTTCTATAAGAAATATTATAATATTAAGAAATATTAATTAATAAGATATATTAATTAATAAATATTCACCACACCGAATGATAAATCTTATTGGGTTGTTTGGAAAAAAAAAATTTCCTATGAAAATGAAAGACTTTTTTTTTTTTTTTAATAGTGAATAAATATTTTTTTGGATTATATACTGTCCATTCTGGTCCAATACCTTTTGAAATCTTTCTGGCATTACCATGATTTCATGTTCATAAAATTTTTGTTCTTTGCAGGCAAAAAACTGATTCAGGTGACTTTTGCCCTCGTTTGAAGTAAAGGTTTTACGGTCCAAATAAGCATTGTATAATTCGATTATCCGGGTTACTCGATTATCTGATATGCAATTAAGTAGAGATAACTGTTCAATCTTATTTTGATTTAATATTATTATTGCAATAAATATGTTTTAATTTTGAAATTTCTACATTCTTTATTGGTTTTAGACAGCAGAAAGTTTTTTCTGGTACTGGAATATTTTAAAAATATTTTCATGTTTTTCTAGAAAGTAAACTAGTAGCGATCAAAAATTTTAATCCAGCCTGTATTTTTAGAACTGAAATTTCATTCTCGGTATTATAGCATTAATTAACTCTAAATGGTGACTGTTTAGGATTTTCATTACTTTTAATCTTCATGGACATTAGCTTTTAACAGTTGCAACCAGGGCAGATTAACCTATAGGCACACTAGGCACGTGCCTAGGGCCTACAAAATTCAGGGGCCTACGAAAAACTTGGGAGAAAAAAATTTGTTGACAAAAATAATTTAGCTTTAAAAACAACAAGTGTATTTTGCACAAAATTATGAAGATACAAATAAAAATATAATATTTTTCAGTAATAAATTATTTTGCAAAATCTTATGATCTAATATATTACTTTTTTGCGATTTTTGGATTTAACGAAATCTTGTATTATGCTGTCGAATTCCAAACTACGCAAAATGTCGTATTCAATAGACATAAGTGCCAAACGATCTTGATTCATTGTTGAACGCAAATAATTTTTTATCAATTTTAATCTGGAGAAAGATCTCTTTCTCCTTCTGCATTTGATCCAAGAATCGACAAATATATTCTTAATACAATGTAAACGTTAGGAAAAGTATTCACAAGTTTATCTTTAATTTTGGCCTTCAACATTTCTTGTGCAGATTTATGTTCATACAAATTTGAAAATAGTAAAAAAAAATATGCAAGAAAATTTTAGCATATGTTTTGAAAAGAGGGGAGGAGTGGGGGAAGGAGGGAAGGGCCCAAAAACAGCTATGCCTAGGGCCTACGAAAGGTATAATGCGGCTCTGGTTGCAACTGATTTTTTTTATTTTTTAATTATGCTGCAAAACAAGCTATACTGCAGTAAAAGAAGTTATGTCATATGGAAAAAAAATAATACTATCCCTGATTAGCGAATGTGAATCTAATTTTCATAGTATGCAAGGAAACTTGTGTAAGACAGTAAATATATGCAAGACATTAAAAGAAAAAAAATGATTTTCAAATGTCTGGAATTTTTATTATGTTTTTTTTTTAAAAATCTTAGTTATAGTTTTGTTACATTTTATAATTTTGTTTTTTCCCTACAGTTGTTAACTAACTTTAAATTATAACCTTTATTATAACTGTTTTTTCCCCAATTTGTTTATAGCAAGAGGAAGTACCTATGGAGGAATCTCAAGAAGAAGTGGTAACAACTTCTGAAGAAAAAGAGAAAAATATAATTTCTTCCATACTTTATGAAGAAAGTAAGCATTTTATTGGATTTTTTTTAGTATTTAAAAATACAACAATATCATTTCTGAGAAAAATAAGATTTTTAAATTTAGTATTTTCTTTATGTATTTCATTCATTTGTATATCACATTTTATTTTTCCTTTTATTTTCAAATTGTTTCAGGAACTTCTTTTTGTAATAAATGTTCTACTAAAAGTTTGATAAAGAAGTTTTTTTATTTTATTTTAATAATTATGTAAATTTTATTCACTCTATTATAAACTAAAATAATTATAGTACGAATATTATTGTTACAAACACCTTTTGCCTTTCAAATTCCTATTGTGTTTATGTTCCTAAGCATATAACAAATATTCAGCCTTTCTGCCCATTATTCGATAGGTTAAAATTATAAATGCCTAATATTTAGTCAAATATTTTATAACTATTTAGCCTAATAAATCTAGGAAAAAAATTTTTAATGAAAATTTATATTCAATAAAGAATAATGAAAATTTACATTAACCAATATATCATCATAGACAGAGCATAATCTTTGACAAAGTTTTTCGAACTAATAATTACTCATTGTGAAATTGCAAAATTTAGATGAATTTATGAGAATATTTAATGATGTCATATATACAGCAATACTTACCACATTTTGAATTAAAGCCATATAAATGATTTTGTTTATCAACTCTTGATTATATAAAAAATGCATAAATAAGTAATTATAGATAATATAGAATAGTTAAAACATAGTTTATTTTGAAAAATATTTAATAAATTATTTAAAAATAGCAGGTAGACTGTTATAAGATGGAGAAAAAAAATGGAGTCATTAAAATTTTTTAATTTATGCTGCAAAAATAATATTTTTTCAGCATTTTCAGGCTCATTACAAGCATCTTAATATAAAAATATCGACTCAGAAATCTTCAGTTTATGAAAATTATATGATGTTTCAAAAAATAGTGTATTATTGAAAACCCATCACAAATGCTTAGACATTTTAAGCATACCAATTATATAGTTAATTTTTATTTAACTTTAATAATAAATTTTAAATTCAAAAAAAAAAAAAAAACATCTGTGTACTAATGATTTAAAAAAAAAAAAAATTTACTCAGTGGGTTTTAGCTTATAGCCGAATATTTTGTAATCAGAAATTTGGAAAAACTTCTAATCACTATGAGACTCATTTCTCCCTTAGACGCTGAGCAGCATGACTTTCTTTTATTAATTCCTAAATTTGTTTTATTGACTTCTGCAGTCTTAGAGATTGAGGTCAGCTGGTAGTAAATTATAAATAAATATCTTCATACTTCCCATCTTAAAAGTAAATAAATAGTTTCTAAAATAATAATTTCAAATGAGTTACAAATGTGTTTGCATTGTATGGAGTCTCATTGTATTGTATTTTTTTTTTGTAAATGTGTTGAACTGAGCTATTACAACTCAATATACATTTTTACATTGTAATTATAACATTATTTCTTTGCTGTTTCTATACAATTAAATTTATTTGAAGTAAAAGTTTTTTTTTAATAAAATATTTATAGTTAATATTTTTTTCCTTTTATAGAAATGTATATTAAGGTTATTTAAATAATGAAAACAGGCAAAACATATAAATTTTTTTTTCTTAATAAAGATAGGACTTTTGCAGAAATAAATGTTTGCTGCTCAATCAAAGTTGGGAGGAACCAATATATATATATATATAGCATGATAAATAAATATATTAAAAAACGAAGGAAATTAAGAAAAACAATACGTTTCATTTACTGCGCATAAGCTGCAAGTAAATAGAACTCATAAAATAAGTTCAAAATGTAGAGAAAACATGGAAAAACTGTAATTTTTTCCCTGTTTTCTCTACATTTCGAACTTATATGTATATATAATTTTACTCGCTTTATAAATTTTGTTTTATTCTGCTTTTTCTTTTTATTTTATTTCCTGTTTTTACGTGTTATTTTTACTTATTGTGTTCTATTTTATTTGTTGTAATTCTTGTAAAAAAATTTTTTTGAGTGCTCCTTACGCTATTGTATTATTATATTTTGCTTTGGCTATATTGATACAATGTCAGAAAGCACACTTTTTTACGGATATAATCGTGTGGGCTTATGAAAAGATTATATCTTTAATTTTCCGGATTTTTTAAAAAAATATTTGTTCTTTTTTTTCCAGTTTGTTATTTTTTTCATTATAATTTTTCTTTCCCCCTCTTTTTTCATGTATCTATAATTTTCATATATATATCCTAGCTAGGTGATAATTTTTTTTACTCAGCTGATTTTGCATCAGAAACTCAGAACATTTATAATGTGGGATGTCAGTAACATGGTATCAGTGTAATAATATAAGTAAAAATTTATTTTTCAAATTTTTCTGAGTGTAATGACCAATTTTGCTTTGATTACTATACATAAATGTATGTATTATGTTTTACATAGATATTATGTGTGTTGTTTAAAGGAGTAACACTTTTTTTTTGTAGCATGGAGATCTATATATTTTTATAATTAAAAATACTGCATATTTTTTTTCTGTGTCCAGCTGCTATATCTAGCCCAATATAGGCATTACATGTTTCCTAACTTTTTAATTTCATAAATTAAATTTTTTAAAAATCATTCTTAATCCTGTTATAATTAAATTATATCAATTATTTATTTTTTTCCCATTTTAGCTAATGCATAAATACTTTTGTTTTTTTCTTAACAATCAATGTAACGACTAACTTTTTATTCAATAGGATTGTACTCATTAATTCAGTGTTGGGACAAAACACTGTTTTGTCGTGTTTTTAACAAAATCTATTTTTTAACTTTATTTTCTTTAAGCGGCTTTATTCTTTTATCTTAAAAATAACTTGATTACACAGTTATATAAATTTCTAATGAATGGATTTTTCGGTGATTAATTTGTAGCCAGATTATTTAAAATTTAATCTTGATAATGTGGGGTCAGGTTTATTTTTGGCTCTATTTATCGATAATTTACCAATTCTTTCATCTCTTTTGATGCTCTTAAGCATAGGTTGGCAAGTAAGCATTCACTGTTAATTGAAATATGTTTTGAGGACTGGGGATCATTGGGCTGCTTCATGCTATGCTGCTTCAGTGCAGTCATTGAATATTTTTTAAAAAGCAAAAATGCTTTCTATTTTAAAAAAGTAATATTTGTTTTAGAGCTCTAAGGAAAAGATTTGCCTGATAATCTGTTAATATAATATTTTTGAAGTTATAAATGTGGCCATGTTTGTAATTTTTAAAAAATCCAACCTAATAAAGGATGTTTTTTTTTTGTCTACAACTAAAGTGATTTCTTTATTTTTTAATCATATCTCATCAATTTCCCTGTTTTAATACAAAGGTAATATACAGAGTTACACTATTATACAGCAAGATATGTTAACGAAAATATTTGATTCATTTTTCTTTCATGTCTAACTTTTCTTCCCCTTCTTTTGTAGCTAAAAATTCTGTTGATAAAAATTGTCTTCTAATGTTAAACATTTTCTTTCAGAGCTGAAAACACTTACTAATTCTCAGTTAAATGAACTCTACTTAGAATTAGAGATGATGATACAAGAAAATTCAGAAGTTTTAATTCAAGAGTTAGCTTTAAGGGATGAACTAGAATTTGAGAAGGAGCTAAAAAATACATTCATTTCTTACTTACTCACCATACAAAATAAAAAAAGACAACATAGTACAGAGAAACGACGAGTACGCTCATCAATGGGAAACAACTCCGATGCTAAAGTAAGTTTTGATTACAAACCATTATATGAAATTTTCATACTAATATTATGTATATATATATGTATAAAAAAATTTACTTTTTAAAAATAGAAATTTTTTCCATGCATTATATTGAAGAAAAATATCAAATATTTAAAAAAATATATTACATAAAGTCCCAAGGTTGATCGAATTTATTAAATCTACTGGTCTCTCTCGTGCTTTTATATGATGTATTTTCTCTTATTTTAATCAAAGTGCATTTTGGAATTAATTATCTTCATCTTTTTTCAATACTCTTTGCTTCCACTTTAAAATAAGGGATCTGGTTTTTATTTAGCTCATATTTAACTTTTACTTGTCAATAAAAAACTTTTTTTTAAGTTTTTTTTTAGTTGGATATTAATATTAAAAACTTGTAAGGATGTCATAAATGTAGATATTGGATTGTTATGGGCAGTACTATAATTACTACTTTTACCTATTTCATCTTCTAATGCACTTTTTTTTAAAATAAAAATAATTAAGTTTTTAAGAATTTAAATAGCTTTTATGTTGATAACATTGTCCACTTGAGATTAAGCTTTAAATTCCTGATATGAAATTGGATTGAAAATTGCTAGCGATTAGGGCTGTTAAAAATATGAAAAATAATTATTTCTGAAATTTTAAAAGAGTATAGAACTAAAAACTTTTTCAAACATTTTTTTGTGAAAAAATTACAAGTTAAAAATGAAATGTTTTAACATAATTTTTAATTGTATTAGAAATTTAAAGTTATTTTTAATTTATTATTGCCTGATATTTTGGGGAAAACATTGAAATATTATGTTAAGATTACTGTGTTTACTTTTCTGTAATTTCGCTTAATTTTGTTTCCAATAACTTGTATTAATGTTTTTGAAGCAGAATCTCTTTCTTTATAATTTTATTATTACTATATTCATAGATCAGGTGTTAATAATCAAATTCAGCCTATTCTGAATCATCTGAAACTTGGGCTGATAGTCATCATGGCACAAATTTGGTATAAAGACTAATGGGGCAATCAAAAGAAAAATTTTGTTGCTCCAAAACTGGGCGCTGGTGGTTGAAAACAGCAGTAAAGATAAATTGCGCAAATGTATAAAAATGCAAAAGGGTTAAGTGTAAGAAAAATGAGTAAAACAGAAAACGTGAAGGAGAGTTTAAATAAAAATTTTTATTGTAAAAAAGTATAATCAATAAATATGGTCAATAAATAAAAGTTAAAAGATTAGTGAGCTAAAAATCCTTTTGATATAATTGTAAATGCCAGCTGGGGTGCGCAAAATTATAAGGGATACAATATAAATATATTTCCCCTGAGCATAGCTTTCTTGGTTTGAAATTTCCCCCATACCCAAATTAAAGCCTTTTTTAAAAAATTGCATTAGCATTTTAAAATCATCTTTAGAAAATTTATATACTGTTAAAATTTGTTTCACAATAATTTTTTATTTAACAAAGAAAAGAATCATTTGATTTTACACAATTCTTAAATGTGCTAAAAATAGAACTCAAAATATATTGAAATAGTAATTATTCATAAAACTAAATTTCAGGTCCCACTTATAAACTTTAGGAATTCAAACAAGTAAGGAATTAGGAATTAAAATAAAACACTGAATTGTGATATTAAGTTATTCACATTATATTTAACATTACAGAAAATATTCTTTTTCTTTTAACTTAACAGGAAATATTCTTTTATTTACTTGAGTCCATCAAGGTAGTTTTCTTTTTTTTTTAAACGGAAAATTCTTGTGAAGTAATTATTATTATTTTTTTTTAACACTAAAAAGTTTTGTTGCAATATTTTTGAATTAGACTAAAAATTCCTTGAATTTCTAGAAAAATGTATTTTTAGTCTTTGAGTGCTGTAATTTTCATGAGTCTTCTATTTTCCCTATTGTCATTTGAATCATAAATGTTCTCCAATTCTCTCTTGTGTAATACTCAATTCATAGCTGATCTAGAATATATTTAAATCAATTTTCGATGTGCAATTCATTTGCATACTTCTTATTCTTGCTGGAGCTCTTCAGTAGCATATTACTAATAGATTTTGGTTCTTCTTAAAAACATACTTATTACTTTTTAAGTTGCATTTTTGAATAGAACTTAATTGTGTCGTCTTTTTGAGATTTATTTGTATCGGATTCGTAAGTGTAACTTGGATGCAATTAATAATGCTAATATATTGTAGATATGATAATTAACTAATAAGTTGGATTTCACTTGCCCCATCAATTAGGTTTAGTAAGAATGTTGTTTTATATTGTAAAAATCATAAAAAGCAAAAGCTCTGATTGTTTTTGACTTGTGTTGTGAGATAATTGCATGTCATTGTACTCTTATTTTAAAAATGCCAATCAGGATTTTTAAAATGCTAGAGGAAGATGCTAAGTGAAATATTTGGTAGTATTAAGAATTGTTGGAATCATTCAGAAAATTAATTGCAATACACACAGAGAGAAAAACTTTTGGATGGTTGCAGCTATGACTAATTTAAGAACAAAAAGAAATATTTTGTACAAAAATATGTAATAGACAATGTAAATAAATGAGAAATAAAACAAATTACAGTCAGACCCCTATTAAATGAAGGCGCTAAATCTCGACAATAAGTTCGTTATATGGAATATTCATTAAATAGAAAATCATCTTTTGAAATATTTAAGCATCACAGAACAGGTTATAAATTCATCAACTCTAGACATAATAAAAATAGCAAAATGGTTCTCCTTGATGTCGTAAACTAGTATTTACTATTTATTTTAGAAATTTTAACCATAAAAGTAATCTGCATGGAAAGCAAGAATAGAGCAAAACATTATCCAGTGTTACACTATCATGCTACATACATTTTCAACTAAGAAGAAGCTAAATTTATGTGTAAAATTGTTGCTGCATTTATTATAAAAGTAATTTTAAACATACATTACCATATGTGTTCTTAAGTTTAATTGCTACTGATAAAAAATCTGTTAATTTTGTTTGAGTTTTTCGTTTGAAATGCAAGCAAGAAGAGAAAGGGATTTTACTTCATTCTCTAAAAGTTAAGAGGCTTCGAAAATCAATTCTAGGTCATTTCCCCCATAAATTGCGTTAACAAGTTTGAAATGTTCTGAACTATTTTGGAAAATAGGGAAAGTGGATCTCAAAGAAAAGTTTGTTAAATAGAGCATTCACTTCATTATCTAGAAGTTATTTTTATGAAAAAATTTCCAAAATGTTCTTGGTTTCTAGAAAAAAATCACAAAATAGAGAAGTTCGTTAAATGGAAGTCCAACTGTATAAATAAAATAAGAATAGGGAAAACTTCTGTATTTACACTATATAACTTCCGTTAAAAGTTAATGGTACTCACCAAATTTTATGCATTCATTTCTTAAAACGAAATTTTTCCTCGATTAAAAAAAAAAGGTTCAAGTCTGGGCTCTGAGCAGCCCAGTCCATTCCATTAACCCCATTGCCACCATACCAAGCCTTGGTGACTCTTGCAATATGACAGCTGGCATTGCATCTTGGAAGTAACAGGGGTCCACCTCGTAAAACTGCCACAGGGTAGGAAGCACATTGTCATCCAAAATAGTGCAGTAGGCATCTTGCATGGGACTAATGCCGATGTTGTTCCCTACACGATATACATCGGCGGAGGGCGTGACATATCTCAGAACCGCAGATATAGTCATTTGCATAGGTGTCCAAATACTTATTGGTAGATTGTGTATTAACTATGTGCATTTCAGTTTAATTGGTTAAGTTTATGTATAGAATAAGTATGTAAATAAAATGTAAAGGGAATTAAACATTTTTCATTGTTTATTATATTGATTTTATTTTATTATTATTATTTTTTTTTGTTGATTTTTTTAATAAATGGCTAAAAAATTTTAAAAAATTAAGTAAGTTTTATTACGGTTCCTGACAAAAGTTATTAGTAATTAAGATAGCTTGTAATTAAAAATGTCTTCTTGATATACATTTTGTTACATTTCCTGACTAAAATTATTACTAATAAAAAAAATTTAGCCAATAAATTTTTTATTAATTCACATTCATTTTATTACATTTCATGACCAAAAATAAGATTAAAAAATTAGCTTTAAAAGTCATTAATAGACATTCATTTTATTACAGTTCCTGACTACTGTCATTCCTTATAGTGTAGAAAATGGACCGCCTAACAATCAGACTTTACAGATTTTGATAAAAAGTAAGTCACTGTGTGCATGTTGGGCTCAAATATTTATTTCTATTTGCTATTATGAAATGCATTCATCAATTTAAGCAGTTGTCAATCTATTGTTTTGAAAAGCAGCTTTCTTTTAAGATACCAAAATTCAAATTCAAGCTCATTCTAATCTCTTCACTAGTATTTTGATAGAATGAAAACAAACTTGTTGCAAGTTTACATAAGATCTTCTGAAGTCGTTACAAATTTGAATTAAAATCTGTTATTGTTTGTGTTCTTATCTTATTTGACCTTTGAAGATAATCTGAAATCTGAGGTCCTGGACATGAGAGACCATTTTGGAGAAATATTTCTCAAATTATTTCCTCTCGTTTAAAAAAATTACGGACAAGCCTTATATTTACCATTCAATAACAATGATAATCACTTTATTATTTTTTTTAACATTTCTTTATTGTTCTAAGTTTATAGAGAAGTGTTTTTCAGCAAATCAGAAAGTTTTTAATATTTTTTTTTTTTTACTACAGTTCTGCCAAAATTTATTTATAACTTTGTATTAAGTTGTATTAAATTCATAACTTATTGGTCTATTGTTAATATTTTGTTAAAATGTAACTCTCAAATTTGGTGGTTTCTCAATTTTTATTATTGTTTAATAAATATTACCTCGTACTTCACAAAGGGAGAACGGCTGAAAGGAAAGATAAAATTTACTGTTTTATTCAGTAAGATTGACAATGTTAACAGAGATGAATTAAAAAAGTGAAACAATCGCATATGTTTGTGTTATTTCTTTGTTTAATTAATTATAGTTTTAAAAATATAGTTTTTTTGTATAGCTTTTACATTACTGGTATTTCTACTTTAATTATAAAAAAATAAGTTTTTGACATTCTTTTAAAAATTATTTTGAATAGATTTTTTTTCTTTAAAAATACAGTTAATTTAGTAAGATTATTTTCTTTTGTGTTGTTGCAAATGTAACTTCAGTTTTTGTTTGCTGGAGAAAAAAAAGGAAAGCTGTATTAAAATATCACATTTTGAAGCTTAAATTTTATAAATTCTACGTATTGGTGTTATATTATTATTTAATATATTATATATTTTGTGAGTGGTTTATAAAATAGTTAATTGGAATGATGTTGAAAAGGCATTGAACAGTGAATTTTTGTCTTTTCATTCTTTAAATTATTTCAGTAATTTTCAGTAAAGCCACACTGACTGACATGCCACACTTTAAATTTTTGCTATGATAGATTTTAGTCACTATTATGGAAAAATGAGGCATTTTAGATACAAAAAAGAAAGAAAACAAAACAAATTTTGGCAGTGGCACATCATGTATGAAAGTGAACTCAAAAAGTTATAACGTTAAAATGTGTGAACACAAAATCCCTTGAGCAACTTTAGAAGCACTAACTATATGGTGTAAAAGGAAATTCAAATCTGTTGAAAGGATGGGAACGAAAGTGAAACACCATGCATTGATCATGTGCTGCTGGTGACTTCATCAATTAGAATGGCAGGAATGTTTTTCTCTCTCTTCTTTTTTTCCTGACTGACATGATTCTCAATAAACCTGCTTTACCCTTTCCTTAGAACAATTTCTTGCAGATGTGAGTTTGAATTTCCATTCAAGCGGCATGTCTTTTCTTCGTCATGCAATTTTTCCCAACTTCCCTCATTTATTTTAACTTGTAACACATTTTTTCTATACCCCCAGAACATAAACAGACATTGTAAATTGAATTTTGTTGCACATTCATAGTTGACATTGTACAGTCCTGCGTCACTCAAAATCTTGTCTTACCCCACCATATTTTAATTAAAAAAATATTTGTTAAAAATGAGAAAAATATACCTTTTTCCAAGCGAATGATATTGGTTCGCTATTTTAGAAAATTTTGCAAACTTTAATTTTTGAATAAATAAACGTTGATTGCGGTATTCTTGCTTGGAAAAAGCCTTTGGAATAATAAAATCTCCGCATAGGCCGCACAGAATTTTAAGTACAGATAGGCAGTATCTTATCCACCAGAAATCGCTAGTTAACTATTGGCATAAGTCAATTATTTTATAATAAGAATTTACATTTAGATACATGAAAAGTATTTTTTTAGTATAACCTAATTAATGTATAATAAATTTGAAAACCTTTAATTACTGTTTCAGACTGATAACTTAATTCGATTTCGGTAAAAAAAATCAAAAGTCTAGTTTAAATAAATAAAGATAAATACACTTTGACTAAAATAAAACCCCCTTTGATTTGCTTTTACTATTTTTTTTTAAAAAAAAGGTTTTTTTGACTTTTTATGCTGCAACTAAAAAACTTTTAAACCTTTGGAGCACAGGGCTCCCTCGGGTAAGGGAGAGCAGGGAAAACCTGGAATTGTCAGGGAATTTTATTTTAACTCTAAAAAGTGGGGAATAGTTAGGGAAAATAAAAATTTTTTGCTAAAAACCTGGAAAATCTTCAGTCTTAGAATTGTCGGTAACAGTGATAAGTTATTGAGATTTGAGTTAAATAATTAATTCTAACATCTATTACAAGTATTTTATAAATTTTCACTTTTTAGTGAAACTTTTCTATGTCTCCATTCACATTCTATTTTATGTTTTTGCTCACAAAACCTAATTTTTGACCTTACTAATAATAAAAAATAAAAACCCAAGTTTTCTGATAAAAAATTGCATGGTAAGCACAAAATATGGTATGGATTTTCATTGAAATTTTCCTGATAAACCTGGAAAAGTCAGGCGAATTTTTTTTCTGAAATTGAGTGGGAACCCTGGAATAGGGACATTTGTTGAATACAATGCCTGTTATACTTGTCTGTTTGTTATACCAGTTGTAATAAGCAAAAGGTTGCTACTACATTAAAATTTTATATTTACTCATATTTTTAAATTTAAGCTTTCGATTTACAATTTTCAGATTTTTGAAATTAGAATTATTTTAGGGATAATTTTTTAAAAAGTAGATATTTCTTTTGGTAGATATTTCATTACAAAATATATTTTCACCAAAGTTAAGAGGAATTTTAAGTCTTGTCATTTTATATAATAAAAACATTACAAAAATATATATGAATAATTTAGAATGTATTCAACTAAATGCAGTGTACTGTATTTAGTTACATTGAGCAAAGTTAAAGTTTATACATGCAAAAGTAATGCATATTCTTAATAAATACAAAATAATATTCTGTCCCTCCTTAAACTATTAATTAAATTATTATGTGTACAGACAATTATTAAAACTCACTCTAGTGATTTTAGTACATTTAATTTTTCGAGAATCTCATTTTAATATTTCAATTAAAATGTATATAAAAGGAAGCTTATACAATTTGAAATTGTGTATTATACTAGTGTATTGAAATAGTCTATTATACTTATTATACTAGTGTATTGAAATAGTCTATTATACTTATTATACTAAATAATTATAATACTTTTAATCAATCACAAAACGGAATATAAGTTTATTATTATTTAGGTCAACTAGCATCTGAAATAAATTATTAAAAAAATGTCTAAGCTTTTATACATTTTTCAGATTATAAATGTCTTGATTTTCCTTCTGCAAATCTATATACAATTTCTTAGGAAATCTTATTTATATCATAGTTGGTTGTCATTAGTGCTTAATCAGTTAATTTTTCTTAGCTAGCCTGGTTTTATTCCTATATTTTTAACCACCTCTAAGTACAAGATAAGCAGAGTAGTTATTTTGTAAAAAATTACTTTGTATTTTGAAAACTATTTAAAAAAGAAAAGCGATAATAAACCAGTGGGTTAAGGCAAGTATCGAGAATTTGAAAAGTTCAATTTTTGGTTCCTGGGCTAATTATTTGTACTGACTACAGGAAACCGAAAACTGAATTTTGAGTTTGTCACCATTTGTAAGGGAAAAATAAATTAATTGCTTAGCCATGACTACCTAAGGGTTAAGAATTATTATAATCAATCTATGTTCTCATTGGATATTAATATATTTAAAAACGTTTCCTTATAATCGTTGATGTTTTTAATGTTGTGTTTTTATTTCAGTTCTCAAGGCGATAAATGAAGATAATCCAGCTGTACCTGCACTTCTCACAGATTATATTCTTAAAGGTAATTTACGTAGTTTGATATTTTTAAATTTATTAATTTTTTTTATCCAAATTTTAATATTCCTTATAAGAAAAAATAAAATTATATATGTTTTATTATTATTTTTTATAGAATATCTAACTATGTGGTAAAAATTTATAAATTTATTTTTAGCTATCCATATTTCGACTTTCTAAGCTGAGAATATGTACTTATTTTAAATATCTGTTAATTCATTTTTATTCAATAAAATGTAAATTTCATTTCTAGTTTTTATGTAGTAATGTATTGTTCAAATTTGGAAATGTAAAATTTTGTAGATGTAACATTCTTTGTGAGAAGTATTGTATATTTTAAAATACCTTCGTAATTTTTTGATTCAATCTTATTTCTAATATTTATTTTGCATATTGTTAAAATTTGTTATACATATTTTTCATTTAATTTAAATATATTGTGTTAATTTAAAGTTATTGCTAAAAGTTTCTTGTTCTTTCTTTAAGTTTCAATGTTGTTAAATGTTCTCAGTTAAAAATTTTCTTTTATAAGTCATATTTTAAGTTCTTTTCTTTCTTTTACTTTGTTACTTTTTATCTTTCTCTTATTTTTGCTAATCTTACTTGATTTGGCCAAACAAACAAAATCCTCTATTTTTTTTTTATTTCTAAGAATTTTCTCTCTTGTTTTTAGATATAAAATTCATAATTACATTGCTGGGTAGTTAGGGAATTGCTTTTAATGTTTTCTTGTTAGGAATGAATTTTTACATTTGAAATATTCAATGACAAAATATTCATCAAATTTATCTGAGCAAATAAAAATGATCTTAAAAAGAATATCATTTTTTGCTATTTTTCAATATTTTTTGTTCTGCTTAAATTTGGAACTCAAGTGTTGGTGTTATTCTTGATTTATGTAAATTATGAAATTTGCCTGTATTCAATCAATAATAACATTTTAAGAATATTTCAATTTTTTTTTAGCATTTTCTAAATTTTTTATGAGGTGTTTATGAACGAAGACCATTCATCTGTGAGGCATAATTTTGATTGTTATATTGCGAAGATGAAACTGCTTTGTTTAAATGCATTGTTTTACAAATAAACTTAACAATTTTTAAACGGATTAAACCTCTGATGTGCTGTTTTTACAAGAAATTGCTGCTCTTTTGAGTTTTGGATTATTTTCTTATATTTTCAATCTACTGTGTTATATTGTTCACTTGCAATCCTCAGAAAATTAATTTTCTTAATAATCTTATTGTCAAAAAGTTTGTTTTATGTTTTTCATTTAGAATTAAGTTTTTTTAGTTTAGAACTATGTTTTTTGAGGTCTTAGCTTTATATGTTTCACGTTATAATTGAGTTTCAGATTTAATAAATTATCTTACATTGTTCATGACTGACATATTTTTATTTGAAATGTTTACTTCTTGTTGAAATTTTTCTGCTTTGTCATCTTCCTCTTATGCTATAGGATCGGAGGCTCTCACCTCATTCTTTTTTTTCCTTCTGATTCTTCCCTATCATCACATACAGTAACAAACTGCTTATAAATATAGCATTTTTTGTAAAAAAAAATTCAATAAACCTACAAACTTTCCCCAGTTTCCATGTAATAGAATAATTTTTGTGTGTTTTTTACTGCAATTTTCATGTTACTCATTATTCTATGAGATTGACTGAGCTGCATAAACATAACCTAAAATATTTACTTCTTTGGAATGAACATTTCAGGTCAGGAGTTAGATATTGTGTTCTTTTTTTTATTGAAATGGCAAAGAATGGTTTTTAAAATTAACACATGGCAGCTTAAGAATTCTGTTTCAAAATAGCATTTTAAAATCCAAAAATATTTTGTAAAACAGTGATTAATGGAAAGTTAATAAGAATAGAAGGGCAATAGAAACATTTAACTAAGAGTTTTTTTATTAGTATTGTTATTGTGAAGAAATTTTACATTTTTCATTATGAGGGAAAAATACTCATGATTTTGAATTTGTTTTAATAAGGGCATACTATGTACCAGAAACAACTATTAAAGATGACACGTGTTAAAACCTATATTAATAAGTGATTTATGACATAAGACATTGACGTGTGCATAAGCCCTGGCCTTTCAAACTTCCGAGTGCTTTTTTACTAAAATAAGGCCACCATTTAAAATAATACAAATCTCTCATTTATATTCTTCAGTACATACACAATTTTATTCTTCTTCACTCTGATATAATATTCTTCAGAAATAGCAGTCTGAGCTGATATCACCATAATTGTTTTAAATTTGTCCTCATATATTCTGTTTCTTGCATTAGTATTCATCTTTTTTGTTTGCATTTTTTTCTAGTACCAAAAATTGTTATTTTGTTTAATTATTTATTCTTTTATTTATTTATTTTTTCTTTTCTTTCTTTATTTTTTCTTTTATTTATTTATTTTTTATTTTTTTAAACGTTAATTTTGCCTACTTAAATCTGATAATGCCCATTTTTTCACCTATCACTAATATTTTTCAGTAACAGTCTGAGCTAAATTTATCATAATTATTTTAAATTTGTCTTCATATATTCTGTTTCTTGCATTAGTATTCATCTTTTTATTTTGCATTTTCTCTAGTACCAAAATTTTTTCTTTTATTTATTTATTTTTTTCTTTTATTTATTTATTTTTTCTTTTTAAAGTTTAATTTTGCCCATTTTTTTTACCATAAGAATTATATCTTACAAATGATGTATCTTAACTTTTTTCGCATCCTCTCAGCGACTTTTGATGTGTTTGACATGTACGTAGAATCACTGAATAATATATTTAAAAAACTATGTTGAATATATTAATTGTATTGAAATTATATTGAATTAAGTATTTAAAAAAAATCAAGTGGTGTTAGTTGGATAGAAATATTAGTGCTGTGGAATTGTTGAGGTTTGTAATTTCAAAAAATTTCGGCAATTGTTTAGTATGATATTTATTTTTTATTCTAGGAATATTTATATAAATTTTTTAAAATTTATTTTCTTTTTCTTTCAGTTCTCTGCCCGACATGAACAACTCGTTTGTTGCTGAATTTGCTATGGCTATTCGTTGAATTCACCACATTCTCAGAGGAATAATGTTTCTGTTTATCTTGATGTTATGTTTCAACATTGTAGTATATCATCATTTTTCTCAGACGGGGAAATGCTTCAAGAATTGTAGTTAAGCAGCAATTAAGGATTTAACTGCATTGATTACTACTACTTCTAGTACAACAACTTAATTAAAATTGGAGCTTATGGTCCTAGAATTTTGCACCAGTTTTGACTTAATTAAATTTTACCTCAGATGCGTGGAAAGTATTTTTCGATTTAATTAAAGTGCTATGTGTATATAAAGTATTTATTTGAAATGATGTAAACTATACAATTAAAATTTTTCCAATAATTGATTTGACGCAGATGACCAATCTTCTCAATGAAATGCTGTTTTATAGCATCATGTCTCTCTTTAGAAATTATTAGCTACTTATAAGCTACTTAATTGCTTATAAGCTACTCATATAAGCTACTTAATTGCTTATTCATTGAAAAATATTTCATGTCACAATGATTAATGAAATTGCTATATCTATGTCACAATGATCAATTTTGTAATTGTAATAGGCATTAATTTTGACAATGTGATGTAAAGAATATTTAAAGTAATGCTTTTGTATGGAAAGACCAGCTTAATGTGGTTAGTGCCTGTTAATTTTATGTATGAATATAAATATTAAGTATTGCATCCAGCACTATACATCATTTTATTCTAAATTCATTCTTATTTATTATTAGAATAATATAATCATATCTCATCAATAATTTTATATCAGAGGGTGTAAAACCTGTTTGATTGAAGAATCTCTCTTCCCACTTTCTCTTCATTTTGTGGCCTTTTTAGTATTGTATAGAGGAGTTATATTAAGGATGTAAAAAATATTGTTAGAAAGCTTTTATTTCTTTCCCTATTAAAAGTTGTGACAAAATGATAGTGTAAGAAGTAGGTAAGGCATCCCATGTTTTTAACAACTAGTGATTTATTTTTTTAATTGATAATACATTATGCTTAAAATAAAATGAATTGATTTTATTGGCTAAGTGTTTGGAAAAATTAAATCATTTTTATGTATGTATTAAAAGTAATTAACAGAATTGCTGTTTTGCTCGGGGAATTCTAATTTAAAAAGCACACCTTTTTCATTTTGTGCTTCGTTAATGAAAACTTGAATTATCGACTTAATGTTTTGATCTTTTTATTTTGCAATTACAGTTAAACCCTGATTACCTGACACCCATTGAAGCAGATTTTTTTCAGAAATTTAAAGTTGTCAGAATCAAAAATTTACTTTTAAATGAAACAAATTCCTATTTGTTACTAGTAACAGATTAATCGCTTGTACATTTTTGGTCGGTAGGTGAGTAAAGTAATGCCATCTTAAACATCTCAATTGTCGTTTTCCAGTATTCAAATTTCATTATCTTCATATCAGTAATTGAATAGAACTAATTTGAATTGAATGTGGTGTTTAATGACCCAATTTCAAAAATAAATCAGTAATTTAGTAATATTAGCTGCATTAATGCAATGTGTGTTGGGACGCTTTTAATATGCGTCAGAAAAGGTGTCAGATAATCAAAGAATCGGATGATCAGGCATTATTCTCTGATTAGGTTTCTACTGTATTGAAATTGTACAAAATATTTTATTGAATTTTTTTAATCGGATAATATCTTCTTTAATTTAACTGATTGTTCGTATTTGTTAAATGATTTTTATTTAACCCATTCGTGTATAACATGTATGATTATACTATGATTATTGTGCTCAATTACTTATGATTTTATTATGTATACGCTATTTTTTTATTGAGTGTTTGTCAGTAATTCTGAGAAATTTGTTGAAAATTTAAATTCCATGACTGTTGTTATTGTAAATGCTAGATTAAATTTATATAGCATTCTAAATTTAGCTAAAAGTGAGTCTAAGTCGTTTTATTAATTTGTTTATCTGATTCTATTTTCTAAGTTATAAGTGAAAATTGCAATGCTAATTTTATATTTATTTGTTTGCAGTAAAATAAAAATAAGTTAAATTTATAATAATGTTAAGTCATTAAATGTTTTAATAAAATTCATTTTTTCGTGATGATTTCTATTGAAGTTTTCTTAGTTGACAAGTTTCCTAAAAAATTTTTTTTTGCTGGGATGTTTCTATCTTACTATTTGGGATTCTCGTAAAAAATCTTGAATATAAATTAAATTTGTTGAAAAAAATTGAAAGTTAAAAAGAAAATTTAATCTTTTTCCTTGCAATCAAATTATGTAACTCATTTACTAGTTTTAAAATTATTTTTATCGTAATTATATTTAATAGCAACCAAATGTATAATGGTATTTTAGAATACTTCTATTTTAAAATGTATTTATTGCTCAGCGATTTGCACATATTTTAATAACTAAGATGTATTTTGATATTTGTATAATTTAGAGTATTAAAAGAAAGTGCTCAAGTAGGAAAAAAAAATTAAGATGAGTCAAGGGTCGCTCCCTTAAAGTATAGCTTTACTTTGTCACTCAGTAAACTGTAAAATATTTATAGCTAAATCTCAGTATTTGCAGTAGATAACTTCATATAACTTAATACCTAAATTATAAAAATATATAATAATTAGATCGTATTTTAGTATGCCTAAACATATTGACATAATGTTCATTACAAGTTCTATTTTCCAAATACATTTCTTTTGGTAGAATACTTATAAGTTTCTTTTTATTGTTTACTACTATGCCTAATTTAACAATTATTGTAATAAAGGCTAGTTTGTTTCCCAATATGTATGTTTTTTTTTTTTTTGTAAAAAATTAAAACTCCTTGTTTTATGATTGTTTTTTTGATATTTTTAATTTATCTTCATAATTTGTGTCTGATTTGTTGTTTTACTTTATTATTTAGTTTTTTTTATCTTCTGCAAAGTTTATATTAAGGTGTTGTATTACTAAGTTTTTGTATTTGTGATTTATTGTCTTTCAACAATGTTTTAAAATTAGTCTTCTGCATAAACAATTACTGCAGTTAATTCATGCCTTGAATTATCTGGTTATACTTTAAATCTTTATGCTTTCTTTTTATAATCTTTGTTTATTTTATATTTGTACATATTATTAAGCATAAAATTAAAACCAAGTTTTTTTAAAATTAATTTATAGGAGAGTTAAAAGCATTTTTTTTTTCTTTCTTACTTTAGCTTAAAATTTCAAAATTTTTTGAAAATGATTTTTTCTTTTAACTAAGCTATTTTAATCTTTTATGCTTTAAAGGAATTCAAGGTACAATTTAATTAGTAATGTTTTCAGATATTAGAAAATATTAAGCCTTAAATTTTAGGCTGATTTATAAAATTACTGATTACTGATTTGCTCAAAATTTTATTTTGAAACAGCCATGTTTGGTTTTACAGAATGCAAATGAAACATGCTTTTTTTTCTCCACATTTATATGATTTTATATAATCATCCATAAAAAGTATTATGTAGTTTTTATTTCCAGCATTTACTTTGAAGTTTTATTTTTGAAAGAAAATAATAGTTATTTTAGTTTTAAAATAAAATAATAAATCAAATTAAATAATATAATTTTTTTTATTTAGTGAAAATTAAATTATTTCCAATGCTATTTCATTAAACGTGGGAAAAAAATTTACAGAATTTAACCACTGTTATTAAGATAAATTTTCTTTGTCATAAATTGGGTTTATAACAGGATGTTTAAATTATTTATACTGTATGTAGCTTCAGAGAAGCCAACTATGAAATTTCGAACAATCTTTCAAAACTAAGGAAAGTTTAATTATCTGAAAAACAGATTGTCCCTTTTTTCTAAAACATTTTATTTAAAATTTGTGACTAGACACTTATTTTTACTGCCATTTTTCAATTTGAAAATTATCCTTTATTTTATTATTATCAGACAAATTTTTTGTTTACTAACTGAATTTGAAGCTATATTTTGAAAAAATAATTTTATTGTTCATCTGTATACTATATAATATACAATATATGAGCAATATACAATTATATAATTGTATATTGCTCGGCATGTAATTTAGGTAATATTCTTTTTTTTCCTCCATTTTAATGCAAGCTGTGAAAATTATTTTTGTTACTATGGTAAAGCTTCATTACAGTTTGGTAACTCTGAAGTTTTCATTATCTGTATACCATGTGTCCCAAAAATAAATGGCTGACCATTTGAAAATTTAACATCGTTTGCTGCGTTTTGATTTTAGAATTTACGGCAATCTACTTAGTAAACTAGGGACTTATACTAACTGAGGTTAAAAACTTAGTTTCAAAATTCATCAACTGATTGTGCTGTTGTCTAAAGTAATCTATAAATAAATGTTTTAAAAACATTTACTGTTCAATATAGTGTAGTGTAACGGCAAATTTTATGTATACACAATTACAAATGTTTTCCATTATAGATTTTCTTAATCAATTGTGCCATCTGTTGACTAGTTTTGTAATCAATTTCGATTTTAGAAGAGAATAAATGAACTGGTTTTTGTAAGCTGAATGCAGCAAACTGTACATTTCCATCTTGTTTGATTTCTCTTTAATTGGTTTTATGAATTATACGTCATTTTTGGCACACCTGGTATTTTACATTTTAAATATAACTTTAGAATTGATACTATATATGCCATGTGTAATTGAACAATGAAAAGTATTTAGTAATTAAGATTAGACTTCATATATAAATTGCAATTGCGTTAATTAAATATTTTTGTATGCCTTTAGCCTAAAATCTAGTTTTTAGCAAAAACCTGATCCTAAATGTAGGTCCAATTACACGTACTGTGACTTTCCCTTTAAATTAAAAACTCTTACTGTTCCAACCTGTCAGAGAGAGTTCTAGAGTGTATAAAGTAATTGTGATATAATTCATGTTAATTTATTTCATACATTAGATATTAGTGATTATTGTCTGTCACGTTTGATTGTTTTCATCAAAGTGTGTGTTGTTTGCACTAGCTGAATCTTCAGATATTAATTGAACGAGCGCTCAGCAAATTAGTGTGTATTTGCTCATTATGATTTAACCTAACCTTGTGCCAATTTTAACGTGATTTGTATTTAGAAAAACTTTTTCTTTTATTTACCGATAATAGGGATGGCAATTTTAATTTTTCAATAAGTATAAACTGAGAATAGTTTTTTCTTTGTTGTGTATTTATTGAAGAGAATTACGTTTATTTGTGTGATATGTAGTATACCATGACAAAGTTGTGTAATATGTATTATATTTATTGATAATGACTCTTATTTAAGTTATGGAATTATGTTATGTATAAAGATATGTTGATAACAGTTTATTAAACTGCAATATTATTATGAAATCTGTTTATTAAAGATCCCTTTATCATGAGTATGTTTCATTATTTTTCTTTTATGCACTGTGGACTGATGATGATACAAGATTTTATCACAAATCTTATCGTAAATTTTGCAATATTTTTATTTAGGTGGTTTTTTTTTCTGTCGAGGAAAATGAAAGCCACTGTTTTCATGGCCTTAAAGGTGAAGCAAAACTTTAATTTTAAATTATTTATACTTGATTCTTGAGAAAAATTGTTTAGACCTTAAAACAGACTAATTCCTTAATTTTTTTTTTTAAAAATCACAAATTTGGCGAGATTTTTTCACTTAGATTTAAATATGTAAAATATAAGACCAGTTTACAACTTATACATATTTTTATGAGCCTTAACAATGCAGCTTAAGAGTAATTTTTCAAAATTTAAAAAGTATCACAAAATTTTTTTTAGTTTTTTTTCTTCATGTAAGCATTTTGTGCAATATCAATTATTGAAATAAAGGGTTTAAAGATGGGCTGAACTAGCATTCCTGAATAACTATTACAAACTCACAATAGTTCATGTGAACTATTACAAACGTACAATTGTTCCTCGAAGAACAGCCTTAAGGTCTTGGAAGAGGTCTAGTTTTGAGGATAGCTGTTTTTCAAATTTGTTATTGCAGCTTATATTAAACAACGTTTCGCTAAAGGTGTTCCTCAGAATACTAGGGTTCCGTGGAAGAGTCTTGGGCTGCAAGAGTTAGGATTTTTTTTCTTTCTTTTTAATCAGTTCTGAAACTTTTAATTACGTTAGTATTAAATCAATAATCCATTATTTATTTGTTTTTTATTTTTAAGACATTAGTTAAGAAAAATACCAATGGGTAAAAAAGTAAAATTTCAAATATGTATGTACAGGGGGTGGACATAAAATGGAAACACTTCTATACTACTACATTTTTTTCCTATTTATTCAGAAATATTTTACGAATTATTTTATAACTTCAAAAGTGTTTATATCACGCAATTTCTCATACATATCTCTGAAGTTTCCAACTCTTAGAGGTTTGAAGGACCGACAATAAATTACAAACGGAAAATGTTATTGAACATCCTATGTCAGAAAGTTAAGCAATAGATGTGTAACTTCTGACAGCTATTTTGGTTATTATATGTAGGTTAAAATTTTGTAAGCTTAGCTTAAATATTTATGGAGATATCGACATTTTTATAAAAAGCTAATTTTTCTGTTTTCTGTTGCTTTTACTTTTAAATTATTCAATAAAATTAAGCAACATTTTTAGAGCAATTTTAAACTTAAGTATAAAATTTTTGCTTTGAACTTTTAAACTACACGTGCACGGAAAAAATTAAAAACGTATTTTTTAAAATTTTGTGAATTGTATTTGGCAACTAATAATTTAGAAAAAAAAAAGCGATTCGAATGTATTAAAAATTTAAAAAGTTTAAAGCAATTTTCTGAGTAGTTTTCGTACTTAATAAAAGAATGCTCAAAATGATAAGGGCTTTTTCACATATTTTATTTTGTGCTATTAAACAAGATTTAATAAAAGTGACACCTCATTGTTGTTGATCATCCCCCATAAAAGTATCTTTTTCGCCCGTTTTCTTTCCTTTTTAAATCACATTTTGGTGTATGAACGTTTATTGTATGGTATTATCATTTATTATTGAATTCTGTCTTATGATATAAAATAATATTTGTAGAAAACGCCTTGTCATATTGACCTTTCTTTTTAAAAACACGATAACTACTTTGAAAATTGCTTGAACTTTTAAACTACAAAGCGGTCTTTTTTCATTCGTTGCCAAATACGATTCGCAACAAAAATTGAGATTTTTTTTCTTTTTAAATTTTTGCATGCGCAGTATAAAATATCAACTTTTATAACTCATATTATTCACAGTTTTAAGCAAAATTTTCTCAATTTTTAGGCTAAAATTTTGTAATTAATTTTGAATTGCTCTAAATTTTTTTTTAATTTTAATGAATATTTTTAAAATTGTAACAAGAAAAAAAAAAAAAAAAAACTTAAGGCAAAAGAATTTTTTATAAAAATGTCCATATTTTCATAAATTTTTAAGCTAGGCTTACAAGATTTTGTGTAATTATTGAATATAATAACCAAAATAACTATCACAAGTCTATTGCAGCATTTTTTGGCATAACGTGTTCAAAAACATGTGTAATTTATTGTCGTTCCCCCAAGCTTGTGAAAGATTTAAAATTCTATGATATGTACGGCAAATCGTATGATCTAAATA